AAACCAAGCACATTGAAGTCGATCAACATTTTATTAGGGAAAGGGTTGCATCTCAAGAAGTCTGTCTTCCATATATCAGCTCCAACATGCAGCTTGCTGATCTTCTCACCAAGGCAATTTCAAAGAAGAAGTTAGAAGCAGATGTATGCAAGTTGGGAATGACAAACATCTATTCCCAACTTGAGAGGGAGTGTAGAAACCACTGATGTGATCTCCACCTCTTTCTATTGTACTCGTATACAACTACTATGTGGTCCCCACCTCTTTCTATTGTACTTGTATACAACTACTAGTTATTTAAGTGTCAGCCCACAATTAGTTGTTAGTCTTTTATTAGGACTTTAGTCTTATATTAGGACTTTAATTGTTGTCTTTTATTAGGATTTTAATTTTGCCATGTAAGCAGTCTTATCCTTACTTCACAATTAATATAAATAGAAACAGGGGGGCGACAGATTAAGCATCATCTTCTTTTCTGAAATCCTTCATTCGAAATCTTCTTCTCTTCTTTTCTCTTTCTCCTCTCATCCTCTTAATTTCCTGTTGATTATACACCACAGCTTGGGCTGTTAGTAGTCTCATACGACTACAATTTATAACTCATTCATGTCTTTACTTTTTTTTTGAAAAAGATGGTAACTTTATTCAAAAAACAAGAGGTACATGAGAAGATGTACATAGGAAATACAACTCAAAAGTTAAACAGGAACAAAGCAATCATTAAACAAGCAATCCCTGTCAGTGCCAGCCTTTGCAAGACTATCAGCATCAGAATTTAGCTCCCTAGGGACCCAATCCAACTGAGCATTCATGTTAGAGAGGATGTCTCTAGCTTCAGCCAAGAGACTAGCTAAAGCCCAGGGGCCACTGCCAGGATCTGCTAACCATCTGATTGTATTTGCAGAATCACCCTTTATGAGAATATTCAGGTATCCCAGATCTCTTGCAATCCTGATTCCAGTTAAGACTGCCAGGATTTCAGCCTTAGTTGAAGAGGCTATCCCAATTGATCCACTGTAAGCCCATCTAATAGTACCATCTCTTCTAAAAATTCCACCAATTCCTGCTGTACCTGGGTTTCCAATGGCGCTTCCGTCGAAGTACAGGGTTATCTTTATATTAATCAACAAAAAAGAAAAAAAAATAAAAGATCCTCCTTTCATGTCTGTAGTATTAATGTAACCATATTATGCTTTTTTGTGCTGAGATACATTTGCATCTATATTATATATTCTTCTGCTCTTGTTAAAATTGCTTAGTTCATACTATTTTTGAGCTCAGCAAGATCTTTTCATATTTAATCTTGGTTTGTTTCATTAGGTTGCACAAGCCACATCAAATCAGATGTCCAAGCGTGATCCTTTGAGACGCTATATGGATGTGATTGATCACATGCTGCGTCAGATGGTAATATTTTTTGCATGCAAGCTCATACATGACAATCTGACACCAAAGATTTATAAACTGCTTTTCTTTGTATGCTTTTATGTGATTCAATTTCCTTTTTGCAGCTTAGAGAAGATCCTTCCTTCAAACCACAAGGGGGTAGATTGGGTGAAAATGACATGGATTATGATACTGATGAGAAAACAATGGCCACACTAAGGCGTCAACTTAGGAGAGCCCGAGAAGAGTACTACCGTTGCAAAAGGTATTGCAGCAACTACTTTAATGAACTAGTTTTCTAGTGGAGGGAGTTTATTGATAGAGAATTCATCCTTGAATCCTTTGGATACTTTGTTTCATGAGTTGTGCTAGTGTTTTTATCACTACAACATTTTCATCTAAAACATATACAAGTATGTGTGCAACTGTTATGGGCTAACCTCTTTGTTTTTGATAATTCTAGTGCTTGTACTTGCAGCCCTTTTTCTTAATACAACCCATTCATGTTATTGGTCAAATACTGATGGTAATGATATCATTTGCATTTTTCCACTTTATTAGCACTACTGACTAACACAGCTTTTTGCAGAGGTTTTCCTAGGTATTTATAGTATAATCTTTTCAGGCAAAGGTTATCCTTTTCCTGGTCATTGTAGTTAGATCATGTCTACTTGTAGCTTAGGTCATTTATGGTAGTGTTGTAGCATAAGCACAAACAGTTCTTTTTCTGTTGGATATTCTGGCGTGATACAGAATTGCCATATTCTTCTTTTAAGATTTAGAAGTGAAAAATATTAAAGATATTTAAAGATTTCTTTGTACTCCAAATTTAGCCATGTGTTCTTTATCTCCTAATCTCCAGATTATCTTTGTTGCATGAAGTGTAAGTCAAAATTTGTTATTCTCACAATGTATTATTCCGGGTTTGAACTTTCAAATATTTGCATTAATGTAATGGGTTTAGGTTTTAATAACTTTGCTATCTTAAACTGTTAATACATTTCAATAATGATGATGATGATGATGATAGGAAGGGTGACCTTCTTAATAGTAGAAGGGGATTCTAAAATAGTCATTGGATGGCTGAAAAAAAGAGAACGAGTATTATGGCAATTCAGAAATGATCTCAGGCGGTTCAAACTGCTGTCGAGACATGCAAATCCAGTTAAGATGGGTTAGAAGGTCTACTAATGGTTTGGTGGATGGCTTAGCTAAACAAAGGGTGAATAGACATCATCTGTTTTGGGCTCAATGTTAGCTGGGTAGTGGGGCTCTTTGCTGTATTGGGTGTTATCTCTAACAACTTCTTGTTGTACTTCTCTTTTTAAGTTCTGATAAATCTCTTTAAGTTGCTGATCAAAAAAAAAAAAGGAGGAAGGGTGACCTTCTAACAGGGCAAATCAACTGAGGGTCGTCTTTCTTTGAACCTTTGCACTTCCATTCTTTATAAAGAATTACTAATTATATGAGATTGTCTCCTTACCCTATGCAAATGCCCTCCTGCCTTGCTACTAAAGAATCTGATTAAGGTTAACTTTTTTGCAGCGAGTATATGAACTTCGTTGTGGAAGCCCTTGAGCTAGAGGACACAATAAAAAATTACAATTGTCGCAGTGCAACTGGATGGTTTGTTCCTAATCTATATCTTTTATACTGCTTTCACTTAGTCTTGTTATGCCTTTTGTCATTTTTTCCCTTGGTGTACTACTTTGCCTTATAACACTACCATTATCAACAAATTGGTAGTCTATTCCTTGTAATAATCTTCTTGAGATACAAATTTCTGGATGTATCTGAATTTGTATTAGCATCATCTCCTGATTGATGAATGGGGTAAATAGTGCCAGATGACCATTGTAGTACAGTTCTTATGAACTGTATTCTCCTGTAAATTTAGTTTGCTTGTTTCCACTTGCCTTCATGATTCGACATTGTAATTTCCAAAGCTTTATTTTTTTTTATCTTTTTTTTTGCGACTTTGTTCAAAACATTGTTATTCTTCAAAAAAAATTGTTCTTATTTCTACTCATAAGTCAGGAACTGACTATCTGTACTGGTCTTCACACAAACCAACCTTAGAAATTGCCAAAAAGCCACAGGCCCACAGCTAAAACAGTTTGACCTTTATAATTGGTCATCCCAGTTGAGTTTGTTCAAAGAAATTGGATCTATCTAATAAACAAAATAAGATAGATGTGTCATTGGGGCTGTTAGCAAACAAAGGGATTGACAATGATCTGTGTACACACAGACAAAAGTCCAAGAATGAACAAGGAGAAACATATTCTTGTATTTATTGTACATCATATATTCTGTATTTACCAAGCCTGCCCTCCCTCCTATTTAGCTTCTCAGTGGGGTTTTAATGATTATTTTCTTTGGAGTCTCATAAGTTACTCTACCCTATAGTTACGGAAGGCTTAAGCAGGATGACTTATAGAGTTACAGAAGGGAAATGCATTGAAGGTTTTGAAGTGGGGAACAGTAGGCCCAACATTACCTTGCTCCAACTTGCTGATGACACTTTTTTGTCGTTGGTGATGCAACAGAGGAGCAAATGGTTTGAGGTGGTTTCAGGTTTAAAGCTCTCTTGCCAAAAGTGAGGTAGACAACTTGTTTGACTTATCAGAAGTTCTTGGTGCAAGGTTGGATCATTGCCCACAAAATACCTATGGTTGCCATTGGGTGGAAGGTGCAATTCTAAAAAATATTAGGAACCTGGTACAGGAAAAAGTGGATAAAAAACTTGCAACTAGGAAAGCAAGGTACCTGTCAAAAGGAGGTAAGTTGACCCTAATTAAAAGAGTTTTGGAAAAAAAATCCCAGCTTATTTCATGCCACTCTTTCCAATAGCAGCTGAAGTAGCTGAAAAAATTGAGAAATCTATGGGGGGTTTTTTGTGGGTAGGATGGAGGGACTCATCTAAATATCATCTTATAAACTGGGATCAGATTTGTCTGCCTTTAAGGAATGGTGGTTTGTGTATTAGGAAGGTCAGGAGGTTTAGTTTAACTCTGCTTGGTATATGGCTCTGGCACTTCAATTCAGAACGCAATGGCCTGTGGAGAAGACTAATTGCAACTAAGTATGGCTTGCAGGAAAATGGATAGGATAGTGTTTCTCCCTCTCAGCACAATGTTTGTAGTGTATGGAGAGGAATATACAAAGATATGCCCTGTTTTCTGAAAGGGATGAAATAAAAGCTTGGAAATGGAAGCAGGTTGAAAATTTGGATGGATCCTTGGTGTTACGAGATGCCTTTATATGAGCTGCTTCCAGAGTTGTACTTGCTACCCAACAGCAGGAATTATTTGATGGTAAAGTCTTATGTAACCAAAAGTGAATCAATTACCTGGATCCCGCAATTTAGAATGAACTAAAATGACTGGGAACTTTTCCAGGTTTCTGATCTGCTGGTGCTGGGTTTGCTTCAGTCTCAAACAATTAATCTTTCATCTCAAGGGCTGGTTTCGGATACAACCTCCTCTTTTTCTTTTCCTAGTAAAGCTATTTGGTTGTCTGCTGCCCCTTCGAAAGTGAAGTTTTTTACCTGGGGGTAAGCTTGTGAGAAATGTTCAACCAAGCAATTGCTTATGAGAACAGGAGCAAATCTGCCTGATATCTTGTGTCCCTTGTGCTTGGAGGAAGAAAAGTCTTCGAATAATATCTTTCTTCATTGCAACTTCACCTACAAGATTTGGATATATTTCTTCAAGGCTGTAACTGTCCAAGGGTGTCTGCCAGCCACTGTTCGGGATTTGTCAAATGCTTGGTAGGTTGCTGGAATGGGTAGGAAAGGTAGATGTTTATGGTCTGCTATTCCATTAGTAGTCTTGTGGCTGCTATGGTTGGAAAGGAACTCAAGGATTTTTGAACAGGAGTAAGCTGGTGGAGAAGGTGATCAATGGCATAGTGGAGGCTCTGAGGCAAATGGTTATTGAATACTTGTGTAGTGATCTTTCCTCCTCTTTTTGGATGTAATATTCTTTAAAGGAAAATTGGGTACTTGTGTAATGTACAGAATCTTTGTATAGACACATGTTTTAATTCTAATTAATACAATTTACCTTACCTTTTCTCAAAAAACAAAAAAGTTACTCTACCCTACCTTATCCATATCCCTTTTGTCCCCACATTAGATAAGACTCCTTCCTAATTTGTCTGTTCATAAGGGGATATGGAGACAACCTTATGCCCCATGGTGACTTCAAATGTTTCATTCTTATTGCATCTCCCAATTTCCAATCGCTACAGGTAATATATTTTTTTTATCAGAAACAGTAAATTTCATTAGACAGATTAAGAGAATACACTGTCACCACCCAGATAAGGGTGTTTACCCCGAGAAATATGCTTTCTGATTACAGAACAGCCCAAAACAAGTTCTCCCTGAAAGTTCCTTGCTTTGCAAGGGTGTCGTAGTCCATTTGCTGACCTCCTTGACTCCTTGTCCACCTGAATAGTGCCCCAACCTCCCTTGCTAAGCAGTTTATTTCCCTCATGAAATGTTGATGTACCCAAGCCCCCAAGTTATGTGATTGCAACCACCCAATTAATAGTTTAGAGTCCCCTTCTACCTCAATCTGGTGTAGGCCCCATTGTTTAGCCAGCCTTGGACCTTGTAGCAAGGCCATAATCTCTGCTCTCAAAGAGTCTCCATCACCTATTGGACCTGAATACAGTGCAACCAATCTGCCCTCCCTGTCTCTGAAGGCTCCTCCCACCCCAGAGGGACCCAGGTTTCCTAAGGAGCTCCCATCGAAGTTCAGCTTCACCCATTGATGTGCAGGAGGGATCCATTGTTCCTTTAACACAGACCTCAATGCCACAGTGTACCATCCTCTAAACAAATCATCAGCTGAATAATCTTTAAATAAAGGAGATGCTTTAAGCCAATGACCTTGGTAGATATGCAATCAATGGTTTGCTCCTTAGATCTTTCAGAACCCTAGAAGATCCTATTGTTTCTTTCTTCCTAGATTGACCACAAAACAGCTGCTCTTGTTGCTCTCCACATTGCACTCCCCTTCTTCTTTGGAGGTCTAAAGAAGTTTGGATCAAAGAGTTTTACTACATCTGAAGGAGGGGCCCACCTGCTTCCAAAGAGAGGAAAACCAATTCCAAACAAAGGATACAAAAGGACAGGATATAAATAAGTGTGTAATGGTCTCACCACAGGCCAAGCAGAGGCTACAAACGTGGGGTGAAAGGCAGTAATTTGGCCTTCTTTTTTGCAGCATATCTAAGGTGTTGATTTTCTGGAGTACCACCTCCCAGCAAAAGGTCCTTATTTTTGGGGGTACAAGGTTACATCAAACCTCCTTTGTTGGAAAGGTTCTTGCCATGTTAGATGAATGGAGGGGAGCATTGTAGAAAGAAGCACTAGTGAAAAACCCAGAAGGAGAGGCTGACCAAATTCTACTATCCAAGCAAGACTGATCAAGGAACAGAATATTAAAATGGGCAATCAGATCATCAACCATACCCATTTCAGACTCCCTCAACCCCCTCAGTCCCAAATCCCAAGAGTTACCATTCAGATAGACAGAGGAAATGGTTTTTTCTTTATTCAATGAAAGAGAGTAGATGGATGGGAATCTGTCTTTGAGGGAGACATCCCCAAACCAGACATCTTCCTAGAAATGAACTTTATTCCCTGCACAAGCATCAAGTATGATAAACAGAAGAAAGGAGGGCAAAATACCATGGATAGCTTTCCAAGGAGATGACCAGGATGCCCTAGGGTCACTATCACTTTATGCCACCTCGTGTATACTCACTATCACTTTGTGCTACAAGTTGTCCTGTTCCAGAGGTAGTCTCCATAACCACTTGCCCTACAAGGCTGTATTCCTTAGCTTTATGTTTCCTATACCCAACCCTCCACTATCTCTACTTCTAGAGACCACCTTCCACTTCACCAAGTGGTCTTTCTTTGTATCCCCTTGTTCCCATAAGAAATCCCTCATTAATTTCTCTAGTTTAAAAGCCACACTAGTGGGGATCTTGAAGGTAGAAAGGAAGTAAATTGGTAGGTTTGCCAAAGTTGATTTTATCAGGGTAGTTCTTCCTCCCAGAGAGATGTAATTTCTCTTCCATCCTGCTAACCTCTTTGAGAATCTTTCCAAAACTGGGTACCAGAAGCTTTCTGACTTTGGGTTCCCTCCTAAAGGTAATCCTAGATATGCTAACGGCCAAACACCAGCTTCGCATCCCAACACTCTAGCAAGGACTCCTACCTCTTCTTCCGATTTATTTACCCCTACCACACATTTGGGATAGAGCACCTAGTAGCACCCTGGTTCGGCCATCTTAGGTTCTGAGGGTTCAGCCAAGCAGTCTACCAAAGATATTTCGTGTGGCACCCCCTATCAAATTTGTGTACTCCAGGCAGGAAGACACGCTAACATAACTAATCTGCCCCCCCCATGTGCGGGTAAATCAGGTTGTTATGCATATGAGGAGCAGTAGTATAAATATCTCTGTGAAAGTCAGAGGAAGAGCAGAAGACATTACCAGAATTCCTTTCCTTCTTTTTATCTTCTTTCTTAGGAGGAAGAGCTCCCTCGAAGTAGCTCAATTGATAAACAACACAGCAAAACTGAGCTACTTCGAGGGAGCACTTC